CCCCCCCCCCCCCCCCCCTTGTGGTACACTTGATACCCGTTGCCCCCGGTAAGCGAAGCCGTTTAGCGCCGTTTTCCCAGAAAGGAGGCCTTAGGACAGAGCGGGTACCTTCGGCCCCCAGCCTGATGTGTGATGAGCGAAATCGATGTCATGACATTTTTGGCCGTGTTTTTCTTACCTTTCTTTTTTGAAAATTCCCTACCGGCTAATAACTTCCTCCTCATCCTCCACCCCGTTTGGTCCCCTTCCGCTAGCCGTCCTGTTTGGGGAGGCTATGGAGCAAGTCCTCGGGGGGGGGGGGGGGGGGGCTGTCAGTCTCGGCGAAGTGGGCGCGTCGAGAGAGAGGGCGCGCCTCGGCCGCCGCGCCTGCTGCTCGCGCTTCTTGAGGCCGCTCGAGACGCCAGCTACGATGTGTGCGGCGGCGCTTCCGGCGGCCTCAAGAGCGACGAACCCGCCGCGATGTGTCGCAGAGAGAGAGGGAATACCGCTTCCTTAGAGCTACCATCCCCTGGCCTCGCTGCACAGCGCATGCATGTGCGCAAGTTTTGGCCCGGCTGCCTGCGCCAAACGCGGGATGAAGACCGCGCGCGCCTTCGTGACATGCGGGGATGGGTGACCGGGGGAGCAAACCAGCGCGCATGCGGTGGCGCAAGCGGCGCGCCTAGGACTGCTGCTGCTGCCGCTTCGCGTACCACTCTGGCACCAGTCGGTGCTTGATGCCGGGCGCGTGCTCGAACAGCTCCTGCGGCTTGAAGTCGAAGAGCGGCGGCGGCGGCCGATTGCTCGCTTGGAGCGCCGTCTTCTCCCTGCTCTTGTCCATGAAGGAGAAGAAGGCGCGCACGCCCGGCGTGGAAGCCTGCACCGTCGTCGCGTATTGCGCAAACGCTTTCCTGTACTTGCCCTCGCTCTTGATCGGCCGGAATGTGAGGGTGACGACCGCCTTGGCGGCGCCGGCCGCCGACTCGCGGTTCGGATCCTTGTTGTCGTGCCCGCAAATCGTGTCGCACGTCCGCCACAGAGGTCCGAGCACGTTCTTGATGCACGCCTACGGTTGGTGGTCCACGGTGCGGCGGATTGGCGCAGCGTGCCACCGCGTGATGCATACGTTGCGCCTGGCCGGGAGCGGACTGCAGCATCGGGAGCAGTAGCGAGTCGACGAAGCCCTCGCAGGCAGACCGGCAACCGCAGTAACAGCCCGGGTCGTGTGGGCCGAGTGGGCAGCCGCAGTCCACCATTCGAAGATAGGCCAGCCACAGATTGCAGCCAGAGACGGCAGCGAGAGGGAAGCCGAGAGCAGCCGGAGAGGCACCCTGGGTCAACCCAACCCCTGGTAGGGGTACACCGAAAAAAGAATTTTGATGTGACGAAAAAAGAATCCAAAAAACAAGAGAACCCCGATTTAGGGACTCCCCTCGACGGCAAGGGCGGGGGCGAGGGCATCCATCAGGCCGATGATCACGCGGGAGTTGCAACCGGGAGGCGGGAGGGGTCATGCGGGAGGCGGGAGGGGTCAGGCTGAGCGGCGTGCGAAAGGCTCGAGTTGAGGCGCCGCTTGAACCAGTGCGCCGTCAGGGCGGGGTGGCCGGGCAGCCTCTCCTCCAGGTGCTCCCTCAGCACCCGCAGCAGGCCCCGCACCACACCCGCCGCCTCGGGGCGCGCGCAGAGGTCGGTCTGTTGCGTCGGGTCTGCGGCGCGGTCCCACAGCCGACAGAGGCCGGCCGCCCCCATCTCCTCGAGCCGCAGGCGGTGGGAGGCGTCGGCGCGCGAGCCGTTGGTCGTGATTGGCGCGCCGAGAGCAGTCACCGAACGTCACCAGGGTTGCAGAGGCCGTACTTTTGGCGGACCGACGCCGGTGCCTCGAGGGAGAGCCACCACCGGCGCGTCGCCGGCTGGCAGCCGAGGCGGAGGGCTTGCGCTTGCACCTCTCCAGCAACAGCACCGGGTACAAGGGCGTGCAAATGGCGTCCACTACTGGCCGCTTCCAGGCGCGGTACAGGGTGGACAGAGAGCAGGTCTCCATCGGCTGCTTCGACACGGCGGTGGAGGCGGCGGTGGCGTATGCGCGGGCGGTCGGCGAGTACCAGCCTCCAGCTCAACCTCCTCCGACAGTGGCCACGGAGGCGGAGGGCTTGTGCACCTGTCGAGCGGCAGCAGCAGCGGGTACAGGGGCGTGGGCAAGCTCCACTCTGGCCGCTACCAGGCGCAGCACAGTGTGGACGGGAGGGAGGTCTATCTCGGCCTCTTCGGCACACGGCGGTGGAGGCGGCGGTGGCGTACGCGCGGGCGACTGGCGAGGTGGCGGCGGAGCCTGAGCGGCCCCCTGGCGCAGTCGGGCATTGAGGAGGCGCCGGAGAGGTCGGAGGTGGCGACGGAGGTGGAGGGGCTGCGGCTCTCGATCCACAGCGCCACCGGCTACAAACAAAGGCGTGCGCGAGATCAACAAGACCGGCCGATTTCGAGCGGACGGGCGCACCGCATATGGTAAGCCCGTCTCCTTTGGCACTTTCGCGACGGCGGTCGACGCGGCGGTGGCCTACGCGCGGGCGGTCGCGGAGATGGAAGGGGCGGAATCGATCGCGGAGGACGAGGCGGCCGCGATAACGCCACGCCGCGCCGAAAAGCGCCCGCTCGAGGCAGCGAGGGCGTCACCGCCGAAACGGCGTTAACAGCATATTTTCAAGCTTAAGAAATATTCAGGTGTTTTAGAGAGTCGGGCAAAGTGTGCCAAACTGTACACTCAAACCCGGCGGCCGGAGTGTCGGGTGCATCAACAGTCTCCGCATATCTCCCCATCTCTCGCCCCTCCCCTCCGGGCCTCGTCCCTCCCCGCACCGCCGCCGCACGCGTCCAAGGCCTTGCGCAAGATGCCGCGCGACGCCGCGCGCGAACCCGTTCCGCTCCCCGCCTCTTCCCTCCTGCTGCTGCCGCGCCGCCACGCGCTCCACGCCAGCTGCAGCCGCAAGGCGACGAGGTCGGCCGCCATCTGCAGCGGCGTGAGCGGCGTCACCTTTGAGCCCTCGACGTCGCGCCACGCCACCGGCACCGAGCCGCGCGCCTAACCTCTGGTGATCCCGGGTGATCTCGTGCGATCTCGTGCGATCTCGGGTGATCTCGGGCGATCCCGGGTGATCCCGTGTGATCTCGTGTGATCTCGGGTGATCTCGCGTAATCTCGGGCAATCTGGGGCAATCGCTCGCCTGCGCGAGGGCGAGGAGCTGCACGTCGTACGCCCAGCCGCGGATCTGCAGCGACGGGAAGAGCTCGCGCGCCGCGCGGCGGGAGAGAAGCTTGAACCCGCACTGAGTGTCGGGCACGCCCCGCACGCAGGTCGACGCGAGAGCCGCAAACACGACTCCCATCAGCCTCCTCGCGGCGGGCCGAGCGGCAAGAGCCGCGGCGCGGCAGCCGACGGCCATCTCGCAGCCGCGCGCGCCCACCCGCCGCTCGAGCGCGGGCAGCGCCGAAAGGGGCGTGGCGTCGAGGAGGAGCAGGAGCTCGCCTCGCGCCGCCGCCGCGCCGGCGGCGAGGCCAGCGCCCTTGCCGCGATTGGCCCCACGGCCGGAGGAGAGGAGCCGCAGCCGCGGCTCCGCCGCCAGCCGCGCCGCGACGAGCTCGCACGTTGAATCGTGGGAGCCGTCGTCCACCACGATGATCTCCCACGGGCCTCGCCGGGTGGTCGACAGGTGAGCGAGCGACTCCTCGAGCGTGCGCGGCAGCCTCTCTGCCTCGTCGTACGCAGGGATGATCACAGAGAGAGACGCGGTGCCGACAGTGCACTGCGCGGCCGGCGAGCGGGGCCGCGCGAGCGGCAAATGCATTCGCGGAAATGAAGAAAAACGCGTGGTGCCAGAAAAAGAAAAGAATCGGGCGGTCGCTCTCCTCCGCTACTCGCCTTGCTTCCTACTCGCCCAATTCATTGTCGCCACCGTCGCTGCCGTCAGAGGAAGCAGGCGTGGGCGGTCGGCTCG